TATCTGAAACCACAAGAGGTTATCTCTCTATATTATTAAAACAACATGATTCAGTCGAATTAAAAACACAACCTAAGGATCAAAAAATGATAGTTACTAACACATTTTCTTTCAGTATAACTTGACTAAACACTATTTCAGATTAAGAGACTGTTGGGTCGTGATTGTCATTAGTTACATTCAATGACCACTGGTCGACAATGTATTGCATTTTCAAATTGATAGATCATAAGAAGTTCAGAACAGTAATGGTAAACTGAGACCATCGTTACAGTTATCCAAGAGTAAATATGGAGACATTATAGATCATTTGCGTCCTACTAAATTAATAGTGATATTATCGTCAAACGTTTATAATTTACCTAGTGGTATATGAACATTACATCGCATACTTCTTACTTTACAATAATTTGAAATAGAATTTCAGTTTAGACCAATAAATATAGCCATTTCTACTGTTACATACAATCGAATTTGAGTGATCTATGCAATTAAAATAACATTTTGAAGAGAGAGAGATATTTCAAACGTGAACCTACTCTTTAATTGAAATAAGAAACAAAGTTAAAACCTCAAAAAAAATGGAATTAGATACTAAAGTAATAATCCAAAGGAAAATTTACTTTAATTATAGTTCTACATTTAATAATCGGTTATCGTTTTCTTGATATATATATATATATATATATATATATATATATATATATATATTAGTGAAACATAGATATTGTCTGAATTATGATAAAATCATTTTAGGAGAAATCCATTTAGAGTGTAAAAACAAGACAAGAATGAGAGACAGAATTATAAATGAACGTTGAATTTTTTTTTTAAAATTTCATTTATCCTATTAAAGAATTTCTACTCATTTTTAGAATGTTAAGACAGTTAAATAAGGCGACTGAGAAAAGACAAACTGAATATTTCAGTTCAGTGAATTATGTTAGAGAATGAAGAAAAGTATCATCATAAAATAATTCGAGTTTCATTTTGCAAAGTTAAATGATGTAAATTATGTACATTAGATAAAACTACATATTAATGAATTCTTAACAAGATAAAAATCTACTAGCGAACAAACCACTATATTGAATCAATTTGATGAAAAATCTTGAACAGCATAGTTTGATATTATCATATCAAGAGCGAGGTTAAGTTAAATATCCGTTTCAGTCTCTACCAAGTTCATTGTTTACGAAACATACATATCAAATTAATGTATGAATTCAAATGGAAACGATGTTAAGTGTATAAGAAACTTTAATTGGACAAATGATTAGCCTATCTCACATTATCCTCATGTTTCTTGTCTACTAAAATGTCATATAATATACTTCATTGTTCTACTGCATTGTACTATTAATTATTTGATAGGCATTTTTATGGATTATTAATCATTTAGTATGATGTTTGTTGGGAACGTTAGATCTCCAGAACTCACTTGATAAATTTCCTAATTGTGGATTTTGTGTTTTCGCACATGGGCTGTTCAGTTAAACTTAAGATTACGTTTCCCACTCGGAAAATGATTGATTGTTACTGGTTGATGTAGTATTTTAGTAAGCTATAATTGTGGCTCTCCCAAGGACGTTTCTATGATGTATAAATAAACTCAGTTTGTGTGCTTGTCAACCTCATATTTTGTGAGTGCTTGTAGAATACACTTTCAACGTCTTGTCGAGACTTCTTCCTGTAATTAGTGGGGCCTTGAACGCTCGGATTAGAGTAGCCTTTTGTGTCACAGCATCACTTGTATTCGCTCTCGTTTACCGAGTAAGGTGAAATCGTATTAGTTACAAACAATATCATTTGACGGGCGTATCAATGTTTGATTCTAATAAAAGCATGATGAGTATTAGAAATGCTTGAAACATAAGGTGATTTTCTTGATCGAGCTAGAGGAATCTTAGTTGGATATTTTTAAATTGGCGATCAAATACAGTTCAAGATTTAAAAATTTGTTTCTTTAAAATTTTTACATTTTCCAAAAAACATGTTAGAATATTTTGGACTGCTTCCAAAAGTTATAATACAAACCCTCAGCCTAAAACATTGTCAATTAAAGTAATATGATGCTTTGAAATAAGCCTAATTGAATCAATCTTCCACTTAGAATATTAAATTTTGGCATATCGTTTATTGTTCCTGAACAAAGGGAAGAGGATTACCTTTCATTTACTAATAAATCCTGCTTCATAAATACAAATATCCTTGAACACACTTTATTCTATTGTTAACATATTATTGTGTTTTCTCTCGGCAGTTTAAATTATTTTATTTGCCTTCAGGGATGATACATGTTGATTGAATATTATTTTCTCTAATATTCATGTGATTTTATTAATAGTGGAGTATAAGCTTAAGATAGCAAACTCCTATTCTGCCTAGTATCTTTATCTTTTCAGTGAAATTTGAAAATAATAATAACGATAAAACGACTTCTGTGTGTGTGTTCATCATGTTCACACAGTAACGCAATAATATGAGTATGAAAACGCATGAAGACTAAATGTTCAATAAAGTATTTATTGTGAATAAAAATCTACAATAAGTTTACATGTCTATAACTTTTTGAACAAATAATTTATAACCTGTTATGCGTATAGGAACCGCAAGTTAGCCAATAAACATGCTACTCTCGTACAAAAAATCACTAAATAATATCTTAGTTGCTGACAGAAAATATACACATTTGACTGGAAACCGTTAAGGGCTTGAAATTATCTGAAAATTTGTATGTTGAATGTTTAAATGATAAAATATTTTCTTTGTTCAGGTTAAAATGTGCTTTAACTATAAATTATGCAGCTTGATGTATTCAGCATCAACTTTAAATGTGGTCAATTTCGTTACTTTTAGTTACTTAGCTCAAAAATGAAGATCTTTCTTTGTTGTATTTCGAGTCTTGTAGAGAAATATTTAGTCTATACAATCAGACTTTACGGTTTAGTAGAACTTAAACATTTACAGACCAAATCACTAGTATCAATACATTCTATATTCACCAACCCTCAAATAGATATTCAAGCTATTATATCGAATCAGTAAGGTTTCTTAAGCTGTAAAAAAGTGGGTAATTGAAAATTTTCATACAATACTAGTTCCTACTAGGCTCGATAGAAAAATAAGGTTGCCTATCTAACCAAACAGTAATAATTTTTAAAATAATCATACACAATCCGTTTAAAATCATACAAAACAAACATACAAATTTATTTCATATTACAATCATAGAATTTTTCATATTCATGTAAATGACTTTTGATCTAGATGAGACGATACGAGAATTATCAAAATTTCCTAGATGAGCTACATATCAAATGATTTGTCTAAAGTCAACTCGTTCTCTGAAGAAGCAAATTATATGTAGTCCAAAGCATTATTTTACAGTCATAAAGAGTTTGCCTAATGCTCAGTTTATTTCAAATTGCCAAGATGAGTCAGGGTTCATTATTATTATTTAGAGAAAGATCACTATGCAGTTGAGTGGCATTAGAGTTCATCAATGGAAAAATATGATGTAAATAACTAAAATAATCCTTAAATTGATCAAAGTTAGGCATTGATTCCGTAGGATACGGAGTCAGTGGTCTAGAGTTTGAGCGTCCGCACGCGAGACTGAAGGTCTTGGGTTAGATTCCTGCAAGTAAGGGTCATAGGAAAGCACTGCCGAGTCCCATACCAGGACGAAACGGCCTTCAAGTGCTTCCAGGTTTCTAATGGTAGTCGAATAATAATTGATTCAAGATTCCAATCTAAAATAATGTTTCCTAGATTTAAATCGTTATGTATTATGCTATGGTAGAAATTAGTTTAAAACACAAGTCGTGACTACTTCAAAAAATAAATAAATGATGGTATCAACTCATAAAATCGTTAAAATAAAAAGGCTTATCTCTTGATACATTACCACTCAGTTTGAAACATTTTTTCAAATGCAGCTTATTTATGCTTCCATTGTAGAATACATTAGTCAAAATCAAATGAAGTTAATTCTAACTTATTTAACATTCCAAATTAACAATCACCTATAACACTGTTTTACTATTGCCCATATCATTGTTTGCTATTATCATAAGAATACATATTTATGATAATGTTTATCTAGTAACTTCTATACCTACCTCACAGTAATAAAAGAGAATGGTTTCATCTTATTTATATAAATTTTTGATGATATTTTCAGGATATGATTTTTACTTAGATTTTATCTATAAAAATAAATTTATGATGACTAGAAGAAAACTATAGGAAATCTTACGCTTAGATTTAGTCTTTGTTTGAACATATCAAAACAATATTTTACTTGTTCTTTCATTTATTTTATTCAGTTAAAATGAAATCAGTAAAATATTTGTAGAATGAAATCAATTTAATTTAGTTCATGCTTTTTCATCAGCTACAATCTAGACCAAGGTAGAATTTTAAAGATGACTTTCATTATGAACTTACATCAAGTGAAGAAATGTTGTTAACTAGACAGCAATAAACAGTAGTCGTTAGGTTTGGAAGGGATAAGGCTGAACTGCTCCAAAATGAAAACAGCAATCATAGGTACAATTCTCTAACTGATAGCAGTATCCTCAGGTTGATTTAAACTCTACAAATCTCTTGATCAAAATATTGCTTGTAAATAAATAAGAACATTTTTATTTCCCCCTGATAGATAGTATCCAATCCTACCTACAGTTTTATTGTACAGTTTAGTTGTATCAGAATAAACGTTTTCATTCATCATAAGCGTTTTTATCACATCATTGCACACTTCATACGGACTGATATCAATTATTTATTCGGTTTTTTATATCCATCTTAACATGGTACATTTATTTCAAACCATGACATGAAGAAATTGAAGAGGTTTGTTGTCAGATGTACAGTTACTGTCAAAAAAACACAAAAATAGCTTATCTACCTTAAACTTTAAAATATTATGATATAACATCAAGGGTTTATAAAAAAAGACTAATTAAAAAATCCATTACCTAAAATAAACTTACACGTAACCATATATTTAAGGAGCTGGATCTTGGTAATGGTTGCCCCATGTCAGTTGCAACTAAGATGAACGAAAAACTGGAAATTTCTTCACGATCCAAAGTTTTTAGTACAAGTAATCCTGGACCATTATAATCTGTAGCTAAAACACTAAATTCGTTTATATCAGCATTTAGGTAGACTTTAGTAGGTATAGACGATGATTCTACATTACTGCTTTGTACATTATCGATTAATTTAAAATAATCATTCCATAAATGTTCATTGTTTGGCAATTTTATTGAATATTGTACATAGGCATTTATTCCTTCATCCAAATCTGTTGCTTTAGGTAAAGGTATCCATCTACCGGTAGGTGTATTTTCCATAATATGTATCACAAATCTGCCATAATTATCATGTTTATTAATTAATGACTTGCCTAATATTAGTTCTTGAAATTTAGGCGTATTGTCATTTACATCATTGATATCAACACGAAGAAAATATGTGCCTTTTGATGAAATAGTAATACCTAAAAACATACAACATGGACCATTAAAAGTATGCATATTTCGATCATGAAAATGAGCTTCATTAGTTGTCATAGTTCTTGTAGCTGTTGTCAGTGAACAACATAATTGAGAAACTGATACACGTTCTGGATAACGTTTGACATCACATATTGCTTCACGGTTAACTGGAATGATTGAAGTCAATTCGTACCAGGGAAATTTTGACCGATCATCATTTACTCTTTGACGTATTGTAAATGGTTCACTCTGTTCCACATCTGAGAAATATAATGGTGCATTTATTTCTTCTGTGGACAAATGTAAATTTTGTAAAAGAATCTCACTTAAATTTATAGATAACTGTGAATTGACGGGATTCATTGGCCATGATGAATGCATAGCATTAAAATTAGATCGATTCAAAAATTGGTCAGTAGAATGTTCAGTAATTTTAATGTTTGCAATACTTTGACATGCTTTACATAAATGAGGTAGATATGTACAAGTATAAAATAGTATCCAAAATTTGAATAGTTTATAGTATGAATTTAATATCACAAACTTCCATTTAAAATTATATTGTGGCATAAGAATTAATGAATTATAACTAATATTCATGTATTTAAATATTATATCTGTTACAAACAAAAAGAAGGATAAAATATATTGAGGGAATTACCAATAAATAGTTTGTTAAACATAAATATGCGAATGGATGGAAAAAAATCCTCAAAGTAAAATAAATACATGAATAATATTATTTTTGCCGATAATTCGGAATAACATTCGAAAAGTAATTACGCAACAGTCTGCATATCTGAATAAATTGTCAAAATTCCTAAATTTGGTATCTAAGCATCCAGTAAAAAGGTATTTGATTCATGAAAATGCCAACAGGATTAAACCTAGTTATTGGTCAATAGATGATTAAAAACCATTAATCGAAAACCTTTACAGTTAAAATGAAGACGTTTGTAACTAAAATTCGGAATAAATAGTCCTTCATATTTTATTATAAATTCGATAAAACGTGAATGTCATATTCGTAGAACTAATAACGAGTTATTTGATTTAATTGTTTATATGCTTAAATCTCAATATGATATAAAATGTGACTACTAAAATTCTATACATCTAAAATTAGTTTATATTCGTTATAGTTAAATAATTCGCTTATCAAAGTTAGGAAATACAAACAACATTTTGAAGATATTCTTTTCAATTGATATTTTACCACATAGAAATCATCAATCAATCATTGTTAGATCACCACTGGAAGCCTGAAAGCATTGGATGGCCGGTTTGTCCTAGTATGGGACTTATCGATCATGCACTTTCAAGATCCTCATTCACAGGAGTCAGGCCCAGGACCTTCGCTCCTGCGCTCGAATACCTAACCTCTGAACCACTGAGCCGGCATTAACGTATAACTCTGATCAATCTAGGGATTTCCCGTGACCTCAGCCATTTGTCTTCAGTAATTACTGCCTGTACCTGACAGGGATGGACCTCACTGGTTACGTCTTCTCACTAAAACTCATAGAATTTCCTCACGAGGCTGGTCACTTGTGGACAACTAATGACACAGTTTGGAAAATAACGAGAAGTAGAAAGCACGGGACGGTTGTTTCTCCCTACATCCTGACCCCACAGCATCACGTGAACACTTTAAAAAGACACACATACAGTTTAAAGTAATCTTTTCAAACTCTCAGCCACAACATATCGCGTACAACAGATAATGTTGACTTACCAAATTGTAATGTAGTATAAATTATGAAAAAAATGTCATTAAAATCACCAACCGATTGATGTTTGATCACTGTTAGAAACGTGAAAGAATTGAATGGCCATTTCGTCTTAGTATCTATCTCCTCAATAGCATGTATCGCAAACTTGTATCACGACGAAACGGCAGTGCAGCGATTTCAGGTTTGAACTGATGGCCTAACAATGGTCCTTAAATGATCCCAACGAAATTGAACAATCTCCACAACCCTGTACAGTTGAAGAAAATTTATTCGGCTGTCTGGATTGACTTGAAACTTGTTAACTGTTGATCGATACGTTTTCTACCACCTACATTATCGTTATCCTTTTCAGTGATCGGATTCTTTTTCGTTTCATTACATTTCACTTTTTTAATGACAAAGTGTTTTATCGATTTCCTTACAATATTAAACTATAGACTATCTTAAAAAGTGTGTAATTACTGCAATTAGGTTTTTTATATTGCAGCTGAATGTGATACTGATGGGAGTATTTGGTGCTTGATAAATGAGAGAAAGCAACACTTAAATAATTCACTGTACTGGGAAGAGGATAAGAAAAATTAAGGCATATAGTTTCGATTGCATGACCATATTAGATAAATTGATTGAGCGAAATATCTGAAATTATGACTTAGTTCTATGTATTTTTAGTTATCCTTTGTTTCCGTTGGTCATTTATATAAAAAGATATGTAACGTGTAAAAATAACATAACTTACAATAAAAAAACGACCAATCAATGAGATTGCGTTCCATTCATGAAAAACTTTTGGATTACTGGAAACAGATAACAACAGAAATAAAAACATTTAGAAAAAGGCGCACTGATAAACAATAATATTTTTAAAGAAAGCGATTTAATATAAGTCTAATATGTTAGTTCCTTATAATGTTTAAAATATTTTAGCATAAATACTTATCTGATCTTCTCTTATTAAAAGAATTGAATCAGTAATTTTACCATAGTTGTGTCTATTAATCTCCACCTGGAACCCTTCCAGGTTTACTCCCGGTTCCGGTGACTGAGAACGAAAGATAGATTGGACATGAGATTAAAGACCGCATCCCGTAGAAAACAAACTCTCAAAAGTAACGCTAACCAGAAAAATAATTTAAATCGCCATATTTCAAATTTTGATTGAATATATCTGATATTATACATACCTTACCCCTTTAGTTTAGACCATTTAAATACTGTTCTTTTTATACTTATCATTGTAAAATATTAACATTTATCTGGAATTCGATAATAACCAACGAAAAATATGTTTCAGTTTGTGGCCAAAATATTATGAAATTTTACTTATATTGGACTAAAAATACTTCATATTTGTTCAGTCAATTCATATTCAGTCAACGTTTTCCTTGAATAACATTATTAAACTGAATGTTCATGCTCATTAGTTCATACGGTTGAATCCAGAATTATCAATATCGACGTACATTTTGATTGATATTTTATTGTTTAAAACATTCTCAAAATGCAAAAAATCATAAAGTAGACCTTGAAAAAATGATAATTCTAATTTAATTATAGTTAGATTCGTTTTTTATAACTAAATATTTTCTACATAATATTTTAGAGTACCAATGAAAACCAAGGAGCCCTGAACAAATGTTTTGTTCTGGTAGGATATCCTCCAGTAATTCATTCCTGTAACTGAACTTATCAAATGTCACTGTGTGATAATCTATCTGATTAACGTATACACAGTAATTTAAATACTGCTACATCATCAGAATAAGAAATCATTCAAATGTGATTATCCATTTATATAAAAACATGTAATCCATAACAGTGATTACAAACTGCTCCAAGGAAATTAGTGGATTAAACATGCAATCAAATAATCAGAATCCGGTTGCTTGACAGTAAACCAAAATACACTAGACTACAACCTGTTGTGGTAATCATGTTTCGCAAATTATTATGATGAAAAATTCTTTTTCTACAGGACATTTACTAGTAAAAGTGGTTATTCACACATTTCCAACAGCAAATTTACAATGTTCTCTCTTAAACATCATAGTATTTACAGTAACTAACATCTATACACAAAAATTCAATAAATATTATGAAAATACTTTCAAAAAAACAAAACTGTTGTTCACTAAAATTGTAAATAATTATATCTGAATCATTCATTTTACTAGTCCATGAAAAGGTTTTTCATTATCGAAAAAAGAAACAATACAAAACATAATAAGAATAAGCCAACATAAACTAATAATGATTATTATCCGATAAAAAAAACAGATAAATTTATTGAAGATCACATTATTCAAACCGAAAGCAAAATAATATTGGAAAAATTTTATCAATGTATCATACATGATTCCATTTTAAGTAATTAGCTTGAATTTTTTTTAGAAATTAACCATTCAAATGTAACAAAAAATTTATTTCTCCTAAATTAATTAATCAAATTTGAGTTGATTTACTGCTGACAGATGAAGCAAGTTTCCTTATGCGTAAAATGCGTCAAATTAATTTTCTTAACACAGTATCAGTTTGATCTGTTTCGGCAAATATATATTTATTTGGAAAAACACTGATCTAAGATCATTTAGTAAGTCGATAGAAACGATTACCTAAACTAACAAACATCCACTAGTAAACTTTGGCAAATAAATTAGCTGTATCATGTGCTTTCAGATAGACTAGTTAGTGAAGATTTTTTTTATCGATTCTTTGTTCTGTGAGCTAGATAGTCCAAATATGGAACTTTACTTGTTGATATCATCAATGCCTACTTCATGTAGATGGTTTCCATTTGAAGAGATATAATATCAACCTCACTGGATTTTGGTCTTTATATACATTTCATATCAATACAATTTGTCCGATCAACTTTATGAGGAAAAAAATTTATTTTACAGTTCAATACTATTATTAACAAATGAATAAATTTTAAACATCATTTAAAGTTTTGTTCTTGACAAACAAATACTTCTTTATTCATGGTGTATTTGAGGTTAAGCGTGATCATAACGTTTAATTTTTAAAAGAATATTCTGAAATTTGTACGACATTATCAGTTGCGTAAGGACAAAAAATGTAAATTCTGATGCAGGTATAAATGATTTGTCTTTGATTATCTAAAACTGATCTACAACCTAAGATTGATTATAAACTGGATGAAATTTATCGAGTGGCTTTAATGACACCTTTGGATAGTTACAGCTTCATATTAGTATGAATCTTTCACCATAATGGTTCTTGATAACAGTACTCACAATTGGGAATATGCTTGAAATAATTACCAAGCTTTTATTTGGTGATTCACTAAGTTGTCGATTAAAGAAAACGCAGTTAAAAGGCTAAAAGTTATATTCAAATTTGTAACAACTGTTTAATTACTTACGGATATTATCATAACTTATTTAACAGTTGACGACTTGTGTACTTTTTTTTACATATGACTGTTTATTGATGAACATAATTCATGAAGTCTTCATTTTCAACATTATGGCTAATATATCACTCAGTCGCTACGTAGCATATCATCAGTGTACTGGAATGATAAAGGATTTAGGAGAAAACACCTATTTATTATGATTACAATCCTCTATACTGTGAAATATCATCTGACTTCCAGTAGACATAGTTTGATTATTTCCCAGCTAATAGCATTCTGTTTTTGTAAAAATGTCTCATTGTTTGCCTAAAATATAGTTGCAGTTTCATCAAACGTTAACATTTTTATTAAAATATCAAAACATCTTAATTATAGGCTGACTCCAATGATGAGGCATCCAATGTTTGGTATTTTATATTCAGAATGTATTATTAACAATAAATATTTGAGCAATCAACTTTGTACTATGACGGTCTGACAATATTTTC